GATTGAACTCAGATCCTTGTGTTTGCCAGTCAAGCGTTTATCCTACTGAGCCATTTCCCCAGCCCCTCAGCTGGTATTTCTAACTATTTTAGCTGCATCTATTTCTAACCACCCTCCCCATATTTTCCCTCTGTTGATCTTTTAGTTTGAGTTCCTGAAGATTTTACTAATTTAAACTTCTAATTCATTATTTCTTTTTCCAGCTGTATTCAGTTAGACATTCAGCCCATCATTTGGCTTTTATATTTTACTATAATTTTACTCTCCAAATGTCTAATGGAGTCTTTGAGATTTTTCCTGTTCTTACTGCATGACCTCTTTTTCTTGTTTTGATGTTGTTATTACCTCCATATTTTTTTTGTGGACTTTAAGGATATTTTAAAGCACATGTTTTTCAAATTTTCAAATGGCCCTAAGACTTTTTTTTTCCCTCAGTCTTTAGTTCTGCTGTCTGCAGAGTTTGTTTGCTTTTATGGTGTTGGTCTCCCTCAGTGCTCTTGTGATTCTTGGTTTTGGGGTTTTCTGGAGATTCTGTGAAAACTCAAGGCCGTCAGCTGGTGGCCTCAGCTTGGTATGCATTGGGCTGAGCTCCTGACTGGTGTTTTCCCTACAATGTCTGCTATGGTCTCCACCTCATGTGAGCACTACATTTCTGAGACAGTTCTACTGAGGTTGGTGGCTCTTCTGAGGACTCAACCACAAGCAGAGTGGTGAAGCATGTGTCTTGGCTTTTGATATGACCCTGAAGAGCAGTGGTTATGTTCACCGACTGCCAGTATAGCTCTCAGTGGCAGCCGGGGGGCTCAGGCCTCTGCCCTGCTGGGCAGCTCTGCTGTGGCCCGCACTCTACAAGGTCAGCCTCGTTCTCTTCCCGGCTCCAAGACACAGCCTGTCTTCTGTCCAAGAGCTCATGTCTCCTTTTGTCTAACAAGTCTCTCTCCTGCTATGAACAATAGCTTTGTGATAATCAACTTTTAAAAATATCACCCACCCAGTACAACTGCAGAAGGCACTAGCACTGAGGAAACTGGAAACCACACACCAGATATCTCTGAAATAATAGCGTTGACAGTAAAGAATCAACTGCAGAAAGGTATACAAGAAATAATTTCGGAACTAAAAAATGTAGTGGTAACTATAATCAAAGAAGTACTAAGTGCTTGTAAAGAATACACTGACAAAAAAATAGAGGAGAATATAAAAATGATGGAACCCCTGAATAAACAATTTAGGAAAGAAATAGAATCTATGAAACAGGTTCAAAGTGATATACAGGAAATTAAAACCTCAATCACAAGCTGGCAAAACCGTTTGCGTGAAAGTGAAGATAGACTTTCTGACCTGAAAGACACCATTGCAGCTAGTGAAAAAGTAAGAAAAGATCTCTTTAAAACAACTAGGATGCAGGAAAAAATAATTCAATACCTGCAAGACGATGCAAAGATGAACAATGTGAGACTAATAGGCATCAATGAGAAGGAAGGAGTCAATACAAATGATATAAAAAGAATATGGGCAGAAGTAATAGCAGAAAACTTCCTAAATATGGGGCAACAATCTGACATTCCTGTAACCGAAGCATATAGAACTCCAAATAATATCAATCCAATGAAAACCACACCCAGACATATAATAATCAAGATTCCAGAAATTCAGCATAGGAACAGTATACCAAAAGCTGCTAAAGAAAAGAAACAGATCACATTTAAAGGAAAACCCATCAGAATAACGGCAGATTTTTCTTCACAAACCATCAAATCAAGAAGAGCATGGAGCAAAGTACTGCAAGTCTTGCAAGAAAACAAATTCCAACCCAGACTGATCTATCCTGCAGAACTATCTTTCAAATATAATGGAGAAGTGAAATATTTCCATGACAAAGAACAACTAAAGAATTTCATGATGACAAAGCCAAGCCTACACAGACTACTAAATGATGTTCTAGAGAGGGGGCAAATTGATCACAGCCCCATGAATGAGAATGGAAAGAACCCTCGAAATAAGGCAAACAAACAGAGGAGAATTAGAGGTATACAAATTGTTTAGTAGTCTTTCAGTTATTCTTTTGTATTCAGCAGCAGAATATTTCCATTAGCACACTCTACAAATGGACTTCTCTTCTACCCTATAGGTCATGATTCCACTTGAGTCTACAGGGTGGATTTCAAAGAAATAACTGTAGCTCAGTTCCACAAGTGATGCCTAGCCACCAGTAACTGTCACGGTCATTATGCATGTCCACAACACATTAGAACTTTGTGCAATATCCTATCCTCAAACTGTTAGAAGTGCTGGTCATTTATTTGCCATTCCAGTATTTATCTTATGTTTTACTCTTAGTACTTCTTTGCTATCATGAAAACTTTTTCTTAGTTCAATTGTTTGGAAACATTTAATTTTCTGAATATTGCTTAATCTTAATTTTTGTTCTAAGATTTATACTGTATCTTTGACTTACAATTTATTTAAAAGACATTGTATGATATCTTCTCCTAGTATTAGAAACTTTAAAAAGTATATTTCCATTTTCTGTTGACTTAAAAAAAAAAGAGGTTTGTACCTATGTTATTTGTTTATTATTTCTTGCCTATATCTTGTAATATGAGAAACTACTTTGGCAATAACAATACACAATGTACTAACCATTGTTACTTTCCTAAAATCTTGTTTTGAGATTTTGTATCACTGTTTTTATTTTTTTTTCTTTCTTTAAAATAAAAATAAGGGCTGGGGAGATAGCTCAGTAGAATAAGTGCTTGCCTGGCAAGTTCAAGGTCATGAGTTCAATCCCCAGTACCGCCAAAAACAAACAAACCAAAAAAAATAATAAAATAAAAATAACTGATGTCAATAAAAAAAATAAAAAAAATAAAAATATCACATCTGTGTGTTTGGAGCAGAGTACGGTTGGATATGGCTTCAATCATCTTTAACCAGAAGGAATGTGATTTCTCTGCTTGTGACCCAGCTTCCGTTAGCTAATGTTGTTCCACAGAAATGCACAGCCCCCAGAGCTGTGTGTTATCACTCAGCATGGCTTACAACTGCTCATATCAAGCCTGTTTAGGCCTGGTGGGGATAGAGTCCAGCTCAGCCTAAGGCAACAGGATCAAGGTGAAAACAATTCCTTTTTTATCTTTTTTCCAAATGCTAGACTTGAACCCAGGTCCCCAGCAAGCTAAGCAAGTGCTCTACAGTTGAGCTATAACCCAGACTTTGTTTTACACAGATGTACAGTAGTCTTCCCTTATCTGTGGGGGGATATGTTCCATTGACTTCCGGTGTATAGCTGAAACTACAGATAGTACTGAATTCTATTTACACTGTGTATTTTTTCTACACATACGTACATACATACATACATACATACACACACATGCCTATGATAAAGTTGAACTTGTAAATTAGGCTCAGTAAGAGATTAATAACAACAATAAAATAAAATAATTATACTGTAAAAAGACTTATGTGAACATTCTCTCTCTCTATCTCTGTCTCTGTCTCTCTGTCTCTCTCTCTCTCTTCCCCACCCTCACTCTCCCTCTCTTCCTTCTTGACTCTGGTTACGTGAAACCTCAGAAAGTGAGACTGTGGGTAAGGGAGGCAGATGACTTGGTATAAAGCCACTATGAGCAAGACATAAAGGCCTTTGCTTATAAAGGACTTAAACGGAGCTAATTTGATCTTCCTAATGATCCTAGGAGACAGACACTATGCTGAGACACAGAGTGGTGAAGGATGGCAGGGATTCTGAGTCCTGAGCTCCTCACCACCACTCTGTGTTGTGTGTGTACATGAGCACATGCAAGCGTACACTTGGGATGGGGCACGATTCTCTGTAAGTAGGCATGGGAGCAGGAAGAACAGACAGTGGCAGGCTTGGGACTGGCCCAGTGACACTGTCACCTGCCTCAGAGCAGCTCTGTCTTGTCATCTCTGCCTGACTCAGACCCAGGCTCTGAGGGGCTCAAGGAGGCCTGGGCTGCAAGAGTGGCCACAGGTGGGCCAGTGAGGTAGCTCAGCGGACTAAATGCCTGCTTAGGCAAGCGCAGGGACTGGGGTTCAATCCCTGGTACCACATACTGTGCGGGCTCTGTCCTTGGGCATATTGAGCTGGCCACTGAGAGAGAGCGTGGTGGCACACACCTGTAATCACGGTGCTGGGGAGGCTGGAAACAGGAGGATCACTATGAGTCTAAGCTGCATAGTGAGACCCTGTACCAAATACAGGAGGTTCTTCTCCCTCCTGCCCATCCTACTGCTTTTGCTGCAGACTATAGGCCTGAAAGCAGGGAGGAGCACACAAATGACTCTACCTTTAAACAAAGGGCTAAAATGCCACTCTTATCCTCCATGCCCAGAGAGACACAGAGATGGGGAGAGACAAGAGGGAGCACAGCAGATACAGCAAAATATGAAAACAGGGAGAGCTGAGACAGGAAGGCTCAAAGAAAGAGACGTGGAGACTGGAGACGGAGCATGAGGTGCCCAGAGTGCCTCTTCAAGTGAAGCTGCCAGGAGATGGGGACAGAGTGACTCAAAACTGACACATGAGTGCACAGTGCAAGGAACCCAGGCCCTGGACACTTGGAGCCCTCAAGGAATTTGGTTCTGAATGACCTACAGCCAAGGCACCAGCATCCCCCTCAAACAGTGGGCCCTTTATTAGAAGCTGGGGGTGGGGCGAGTGTAGGTGAGCATGTGTGTGTCCAGCACCCCCACCTCTGGCCCCAAGCAGTTGGTGACCCTGAGGCAGGGGACAGGTGCCTGGTCTCTTCATGCCCTCTCCCTGCATGGGGCCAGTCCTCCCCACCCCCTCATGCCAGTGTCAGGTTCCGGGCTGTTCCCTGGGGGAC